GCGCTGGCTCAAGTATAAAGTCACGCGAGGGGGGCCTTGTAACAGCTGTGGGTTCAGCTCGAGTACGTGCTCGAGGGAAAAACTGAAAGCGTTCGTGCGCTGGTACACCACAGTGTCTTCCTTCTCCTCGTGTCTCCTTCTTCCTTTCTTCAGTTTGGTCGCCGGCGAGGTGACACAGAAAGAGAGCTAGGGCATAGCCACGGCGTTTGAGAGAGCGAGGAGGAGCGAGGCAAGGGACTGACGGTTCCAACAATTGGCATCAGAGCCACGTGGAGGTGGGAGCTCGCCGGCGATGTCCATCGTGCCGTACGCCGGTGGATCGGGCGGTGCGGTGTCGCACCCAGCGCCCGTGCTCACGGACGACAACTACACCACCTGGGCCATCAAGGTGGAGGCGGACCTTGATGCCGCAGGGCTGTGGGAGGCGGTGGTGCCGCCGGAGGACGCGGCATCGGCGGTGATCGTCAAGAAAGACAAGCCGGCGAGGGCCTATCTGCTCCGGGCGCCGACGACCTTCTGTTGCAGGTGGCTGCGAAGAGGACGGCAGCGGAGATATGGGCGAGCTTGAAGGCCAGGTTTGTGGGCGCGGATCGTGTGCGCGCGGTGTGGCTCGGCACGCTCCGGGGAGAATTTGAGCTCATGCGCATGGCGGAGTCCGAGTCTCTGGACGCGTTCGCTGGGAGGCTCGGTGGCATGGCGGTGCGCTACGCGGCGCTGGGCTTAACCCTGGAGGATGCGGCGCTCGTCAAGAAGTTGCTTGACTCGGTGCTGAACCGCCTGTATGCGGCGGTGGCCGGGATCGAGCAATTCTGCAACGTCGGCACGATGCTGTTCGAGGATGCGTTGGGGCGGCTGAAGACTTTTGACGAGTGGCTGCGGCGACGCGATCATGCACGCGGCGAGTGAGCTGACGACAAGCTGCTGTACGGCGGCACAATGGAGGGCGCGGGAGCGGCGCCACGGCGGAGCTCGGGACGACGACGGGGCGCGCAGCGAGGCGGCGGGCTTCGGCGGCAACAAGAAGGGCCGGTGCTACAAGTGCGACGAGCGGGGTCACTTCAAACGTGACTGCCCGAAGTGGAAGAAGGCGCCGGCGCCGGAACGTGCACTGCTGGTCGACGGCGACGTCGAGGACGGCGGGCTGCTCTGAGCCGTGGCTTAGGGCGCGTGTGTTGGGAATAAGCCACGGCGGTGCATCGAGCATGTTGGGCGCGTGTATGGGCACGCGCCGGACGAGCTGGACGCGTCGGGTCCGCAGCGGGTGCGTGCGTGTGTGCGTGCGTTGAGTGCATGGGCATGTCCGTGCGGGTGTGCGGGTGTGCGTGAGTTTAGGGAGTAGCTGTTAGGCCGGGTCGCATGGCACGATCGAGGGCGTGGTCGCTGGTGCTCGCCGTGGGGCGCGCGCTACAGAGCGCGACGCGGGCACGAGCGGAGCAAGCGGAGTGCGAGCGATCGGGAGGGAGTGGAGGCGTGGGTTCGAGCCCGGTGCGCTGGCTCAAGTATAAAGTCACGCGAGGGGGGCCTTGTAACAGCTGTGGGTTCAGCTCGAGTACGTGCTCGAGGGAAAAACTGAAAGCATTCGTGCGCTGGTACACCACCGTGTCTTCCTTCTCCTCGTGTCTCCTTCTTCCTTGCTTCAGTTTGGTCGCCGGCGAGGTGACGCAGAAAGAGAGCTAGGGTAGAGGGAGAGCTAGGGCATAGCCACGTCGTATGAGAGAGCGAGGAGGAGCGAGGCGAGGGACTGGCGGTTCCAACATATTCAAGTGTGTGGATAACACTAAAGTCAGTGGTCAATATTGAGTTACTTGAACTAGCCAACTTATCCAAATGTCTAAATTAATGGGCAAGAACGAGCAATATATTACAACACTTTCTCTCATGCCTAAGCTGCTCGAAGCCATAGAAGTGGGATCATTGTAGGTTGCAACAACATTTTGTTGAATAATGCATTAGCCGGGTCTTATAATCGAGACATCTTAGCATTCATATCATATTGAGTTACATGCTCCAGCTAGTTCATTCAAATGTCTGAACTTATAAAAAAGAGTGAGCAATATATTTTGAGAGTCAAAAGACTATATGCTCTGGGTAACTCTTCTGAAGGAAAGTATGTACGTGCAAATCCTACAAGTGGGCATCTCTGGCATGAATCAGCTATGTGAATAAATAATTTGATGATGTCATCCACACCCTTTTTTGAAAAAAAAATCAGCACTATGAACTTAATAGCTTAAGCAACGAAGAACTATATAGGATATAGTGGTGGATTATGGAATACACAACCGAACAACTTAAAAAGACTCATCTCCCTTGACTGGCTGTGCATCCTCCATGTATTTCAAAAAGAAGGTGATTGCAACTCTAGATATGCTTATCAATTGTCTTATGCATTGTAAATTATTGATTTGTAGAAATCCGGGCACTTTTCCTAGCCATTCCAGCTTGCAAGATACACCAAAGGTTGACTCTTATGACATGATAACATTTTGTGTGCTACAAATGTTGAACAATCGCAGCCAAACACATGCCGGCTTGCTTGTTCTTTTAGGGCAACTCCAACGGGCAAACCCAAACATATAGAAATTTTGTCCGCCTTTTGTCCGTTTAGCTGGCTAGGCGGACACCAAATAAAGTCATTTACATGAATTAAATTAAGAAAACACAACTAGAAATTAAATAAACACTAGATCTAACTAGGGTGGCCGCCGGAGCACGCGCGCGCGGTGGCGCTGGAGCCTACTGCCCATCCTCTTCGTCAACGAGGTCGATAAAGGTTGGAGGCGACCATGGCCATGTAGTGTGGGTGGTGGTGGTGGCCCTACCGCCGGTGCGCGCGGTGGCGCTGGAGCCTACTGCCCATCCTCTTTGTCGACGAGGTCGATAAAGGTTGGAGGCGACCATGGCCATGTAGTGTGGGT